TGAGTGGGAGCTGTGGGTGTGCAGGGCAGTTGGCAGGAGCTGGTGCTTCCCAGCTTTTCTGGGCTCTGGAGGTGGAGTTTGCAGTCACTTTGTGGCTGCAGTTGCCCAACAGAGCTCAGGTGTGGGAATTCCTATTTATCCGGGCACCGCTCCCGGCGGGGAGCTCAGGACATCCAGCAACCACAGGGAATTCCTGTGAAAAAGCCCTGCTCCTTCCTGAAGCTGCTGCCCGCCCCCGGGAGAGTCCGTTTCTGTTCCCTTTCCAAGGGAGGGAAGATGGAGCCTCATCCTGCCCGTCCCTCCGGCCTCAGCTCCACCAGCATCTCCCACACGGTGCTGTGGGTGTTAAACGCACCCGAATTGCTGGGGAGCAGCTGAGGGCTCTGCCAGAGCAGCCTCTGCTTTGTCATTTCTGGCTGATTTGCCAGCTCGAAGCTCACGCTGGCAAAAAAAAATCAATGTTTTGCCATCCTTGCAAACCCGGGTGTTTGCTGGGGGGGCTGCAAACAACGGCACGTGCGGCGGCAGCTCCAGGGCTGCTCACTTGGTTCACACCCTTGCAGAGCCTTGGCCACCCTTGGGCTGGGAGAGCCAGCATGGCCGGGAGGTACCCAGGAAGCTGGGGCTCAGACTGCACCTTCTGCCTTGCACCATCACCCCTGCACCCTCACCCCTGCACCTCCTCCCTTGCACCCTCACCCCTGCACCCTCACCCCTGCACCTTCTCCCTTGCACCTTCACCCCTGCACCTTCTGCCTTGCACCCTCACCCCTGCACCTTCTGCCTTGCACCCTCACCCCTGCACCTTCTCCCTTGCACCTTCACCCCTGCACCTTCTCCCTTGCACCTTCACCCCTGCACCTTCTGCCTTGCACCATCACCCCTGCACCTTCTCCCTTGCACCCTCACCCCTGCACTGTGTCTCTTGCACCATCACCCCTGCACGACTGGCTGCAGGGAGATGGAGCCTCGGCCACCACCACGGGGTGTCCCAGGTCTGCAGAGAGGCAGGGTGAGCTCCCCAGAGCCTGGCGTGGGCTCTGTGGTGGTAGGAGTGGGATCAAGGATCCCTGGAGGGGTCCAGGACTGGGTGGTGGCTCAGTCCAGGGGTCTGTAGGGCTGCTGGGATGGGGATAGACTTGGTTCTGCACTATAATCACCAGAGGGCTGCAGATAAGACTCCTCCTCTCCTAAATCTCCCCCCTTCCAGTTTTAATCCACCCCCCCTTGTCCTCTCCCTCCCTGCCCTTGTCCCAAGTCCCTCCCCAGCTTTCCTGGAGCCCCTTCAGGCACTGGAAGCTGCTCTAAGGTCTCCCTGGAGCCTTCTCCTCTCCAGGCTGAACCCCCCAACTCTCTCCAGAGCAGAGCTGCTCCAGCCTCTGATGACTGATGAGGTCCTTGCTGCGGTGGGGGGAGTTGGGCTGTAGGTGAACGTTCCACCTTGATGAATTATTCATCACCATGTGATGCTGGTGCTGGCTCAGAGGAAGCTGAGGTGGTGGCAGGATGAGTCCAAGCTCAGATGGTGTGGGTGTCCCAGGACAGGCAGCACCAGGAGAAGGGGGAAAAAGGACTTGGAGACTTGTGGGTGGGCCCAGCAAAGGGGCCGTGTGGCTGTGCTGGCTGCAGGGGGTGACTCAGCTGTCACCTGGGTTGTCCCCAGCTCGCCCTGCAGGAAGTGAGTCAGGTTTGAAGGAAGAAAAATGATTAAACGATGGGGCAAGAGTTCTTCCTGCAGCAGGAGGAGGCCGGTGCTGGTGGCAGGAGGGAGGTGGGGATGATGGAGGGTTGCAGGCCCATTCTCAGGTAGGGAGACCTCACTTCTTGTTCTTCCCGTCATGCTGAAGCTTCTCCCCAGAATTCCAGGGAAGGGAGGTGGGAACAACGTGTAACTCATCCCACTAACAAAACCGGGGCATGAGGTTGCTTCTCACCTGCCCTGGGCACCCCAGGAGCTCCTCTTGGTCCTGCTGTTGGCCTCAGATGATCTTTTTCCTCCCAAAAGGCCACGTGGGGAGGAGGTGGGAACTGCACCCAGGCATGGGCTGAGCTGTGTGTGTGTCTCTTCCCCCTGCAGAGATGGACACCTTCAGCACCAAGAACCTGGCCCTGCAGGCCCAGAAGAAGCTCTTGAGCAAGATGGCTACCAAGAGCATCGCCAACGTCTTCATTGACGACACCAGCAGCGAGATCCTGGACGAGCTGTACCGGGCCACCAAGGAGTACACCCACAACCGCAAGGAGGCCCAGAAGATCATCAAAAACCTCATCAAGATAGTGATGAAGCTGGGCGTGCTCTACCGCAACGGGCAGTTCAGCCCCGAGGAGCTGCTGGTGATGGAGCGGTTCCGCAAGAAGGTGCACACCTTGGCCATGACAGCTGTCAGCTTCCACCAGATAGACTTCACCTTCGACCGGAGGGTGATGTCGGGGGTGCTGACGGAGTGCAGGGACCTGCTGCACCAGGCTGTCAATGGGCACCTGACAGCCAAGTCCCACTCCCGCATCAACCACGTCTTCAACCACTTTGCGGACTACGAGTTCCTCTCGGCGCTCTACGGGCCGGCCGAGCCCTATCGCACCCACCTGAAGAGGATCTGCGAAGGGGTCAACAAGATGCTGGAGGAGGACAGCATATGAAGTTGGCCAAGGTGGGCCAGAAGCAGCAGCACCAGCTGCTGCCAGACTCTGCCTCCTGTGAGACCGAGGACAAGACTTGTGCCTGTTCTGACCAGCACCAGGCTTGTTGTCCTCTTCTGTGTTGTGCTAACTCGTTTGCTCCTTGTTTCTACAAAAGGCTCGACCTCTTGACTTCTTTTAACCCTTGCCCAGGGTCTGCAAAACCCACCCTGTGCTGGGCTTGAGTCCTTCCCAGGTGATCCAGGGCTTCTGGGCTCCTGCTGTCCAGCTCGATTTCCTTTGCCCACCCAAGTGCTCTTATTAACTCAGAGTCCAATGAACTGGACTCCTCACCTTGAACTCTTATCACATCCCTCCTGGGGGAAAACCAGACCAAAGACTTATGGTGGTAACACCTCTAAGGTGTCTCTGAGTGGGTGGAGGGTTGCTTGGATGAAGGGTTGTGAGACTCTGTTCGTGGAGGGTTGTGGTGCCCCAGGTTGTCTTTCAGTAGCTCCAGTACATGGTGGGAGCAAATCCCAGTCCAGACCTGTGCTGCCCAGGCTTGTGTGGGCTTCGACCTCCTGAAAGACAAGTCCTTGAGAGCAGAAGGATCCCACCTCACCTGGGTTGTCCCTCGGGGCAGGGAGGGAGCTGGAGTGTCCTGCTCTGTCTCTGCATCCCAGGTACTCCCCTTCATCCAAGACCCAACTCCCCCTCCATGATGGTACCATGGTGATGGCCCCAACACCTTCCTCAGTGGTTGCCCAAAGTTCTCCCCAGCATTTCAGACATTTCATGTGTCCTCCACTGAGTTAGGGTTGTTCTTTTTTTGTTTGTTTGGGGTTTTTTTTTTAGCAAACTCTGTAGCCCTGATGAGTTATTTAAATAAACTCAACTGTTTGGCCTGGGTGCTCCATGTGGTTGGTGATAAAATGAACCTCAGGGGCAGTTGGGTTTGGAATTGGTGATTTGCTTGTCTGTGTCCTGGGGTTTTATCCTCCCTGTCCCCTGCTCTGGGGCACAGTGAGAGGAAAATGGTGCAAAACCCAGGGCTGGGGTCCCAGGATGGGAGCAAATCCTGCTCCTCTGCATCCCCACTAAAAAGAGAATTCCAAGGGCAAAAATGGAAAAAAAATGAGCATCTTCTGAGGGTGGTGAAACACTGGAACAGGTTGCCCAGGGAAGCTGTGGGGCCCTGAATGCAGCTGGGAGCTCAGGGGACACAATTCCCCACCCATCAGCTCTCTGCAGGTGTCTGCAGATCCAGGAGGAGCTGCACAGGAGAGAAAGGAGCATCTAAGAAGAGCTTGGACAACAGAGCTTGTAAAATCCCCAGTGCAAAGCACCCCCAGCCTGCCAAAAACTGGGCAAAGCAGCTCCCAGGGAATCACCTCTGGGCAGAGCACCCATCATGACAGTGCTGAGTGATGCAAACTTACAGCTGAACCTTGTTCTCAGGTGCTGTGACTCCTGTGGGGTGGGCAGAGCCCCTGGAAACCCTCCACAGCCTCCAGCCTCTCCCAGGGCATCTCAGCTCCACCTGGCCAAGCCAACACCAAAGGTTGTGCCACTCACTGGGGATCCAGCTGGAGAGGGCGGGTGTCACAGAGCAGCCTCAAGGCAAGAGCATGATGCTTTATTTCTTTATTTGTATTTACACAGGAGAGGAATTCCACATTCCCTCACTGGTATTACTCTAGATCTTAAAAAAGAAAAACCACCCCCCACTTCTGTACGTAGAAAATAGTCCTGCAGTTGTGCTGAGGTGTGCAAGTGTTGCTCAGATGGATTCCTGGCTTGTGTCAGAATAAGCAGCTCTGCCTTCTCCATGCCAGGTTATCCCAACCTGTGCTCCACACTAGTCCTGAACACCCTCCTGGCAGTGTTGACCTTTGGTAGCCACACTCAACAAGGAGTCAGACAGTTCTGGCCAACTCTACTTCTTCCTTCCTTCCCCCTCCCACCCAATTTAATTATTTCCTCCTGTCACAGAAATCCTGTTCTCCCTCCAGCGACTAGAGAGTTAACAACTTGAGCAAACCATGTTTAAATCCAGCCACTTATCTTTCTGCATTACCCTTCCTAACTAGGGAGATAAGGAGCCCCTGTTAGAGGGCAGCTTTACCATATTCAGCAGATCAACCAAGCAGAAAGAGGGTGACAGAAGGCCTGGCTGCACATCAGGAGTCTCGGAGGAGGTTTCCAGCTGCAAAGCACATTGTTACTCTGACACAAGACAGAATTCATCTGTCTTAACACCTCCAAGTCCCACTTGTATTGGACCCTGGCACATTTCAATATGGAAAACCAGAAATTGTTTGGCCAACCAAAACAAAAAACAACAAAACCCCAACCCAAACCCTGCAGTTAAAAAGGAATCCTCTTTATCTGCCATGATCTTCCCCAGCGTTGGCCCCAGGGTCACAGCTCGTCACGGGGAGTTTTTGCTACAATCATGAGTTTGGACAGTTCAAAACGGAACTTGCCTTCCCTGTGAGACACTAGAAAGAGAGTAAAAGAGGCAGAGGGTGAAGCAGATTGTAAAGCATGAACAAAACAGCCCTGCTGGGTCCTTTCCAGGATGATAAAGGCAGCAAACTGGGCACTGCACTTCCTTCTGAAGCATGCGACGAGCACATTGTGATAAACCCCTTCTTCCCCCCTCCACAGTGGGACATTCCCACTGGGACAGGACCCACAAAATCCTGCTGTCTCCCACCCCAAGCCCCTTCTTCCTTCTCTCAGTCACTGACCTGTTGTTTCAGTGATTTCAAATTCTTCCTGTTTCAAGGGGACGTCGCTTTGTCCACCCGCTGCGGCTTGAGACTGAAATTGGGAAGGAAGAAGGTTTAAAGTAGGTAAGGCAACCCCAGAAGCTCTTCAAAGCAAACAAACACCACATTTTGAAGAATGAGTTTGTATTTTAATAACGTGGAGTGAACTAATTAAAACCACGTGGGAAATCTGAAGGAAAATCTCTGGCTCTTTTCTCATTTTCTATGAAACTGGTGTCACTCGGGTGACTGAACAGCCTCACCACTGAGGACTGGGAAAGGGAAGAACAAACCAGCCAAAAACACCAGCAGAGGTTTTTATTTCCTTTCTCACATTCAATTTGTTGAGGCAAACCTCAAAAAAAATGGAGGGAGCAGGAGTAAGATGGGGCAGGAGAACCGACCTGCAGCCTCTCCTGGCTGCCACTGCTCCCTAATTAGCGAGGCGATGGAGAAGATTTTATTGCACAGATGTCTAATAAATGTTTTCCATCTCCAATTCATGTTTTATAGCAGCCTCCCACACACCTGCTTCCCAGAGATCAGCTGGGACTTACATAAGCCATGGCATGCTCTATCTTGGCTCCTTTCACTTCAGCTTTAAACTGCGTGAAGAAGAGATAAGACTTCCCTTGGGGCCTGAAAGAAGAAAGCAAGAGGTTTTGACGTGGAGGTGCAGACAAGCTGAGGATTCATGGCTCCCTCCTGCCACGGAGGGTGGAGAGGGGGAAACACAGCATTTACCAACCACCACCTGGCTAAGGAACCCACCCAGAGACACAGCAGGCAAAGCCAGCCAGGAGGAAGAGTCCCTGGCCCAGATCCCACCTGCCTTGTGGTTGCTTGGGCCTCTGAGAGTTGGGGGTCAAAGCACCCACCTCCAGACAGAGCAGGAGAAGAGCAGGTTGTCTTCACTGACTCCAATGTTCATCTCCCATTGCTGTGGAGGGGAAAGGTCCAGTTACTGAGGGTAAGAGGCTTCCTGCTCCCCCCTGAGGCCAGCCAGCTCCCCTCCCACACCAGGCAAGGCTCCACCACTCTAAAATAACACAACATAATGACACAACACTTGCTGATGGTCCCTTTTACTCTGCCTTGCCCAAAGCTCAAGGCCTGGCTGCTCTCTCCTCTCCATAATTCATTAGTACAGTTGCAAAAAAAAGAGTTTAAATGCCATTTCCCTTTAGGCTAAAAGGACCTGATTTTCTAACAGGACTTGCCAATGAGTACGAACCGCACAGCACCCGCTGCAGCAGCAACACGAGCTGCAAAAAAAACACCTTCAAGAAGACAAGATTTACTCCTCCGAGGCCCCTTCCTAACAGCTGGGGTATGAAAATGTCACTCCCTGTTCTCCAGAGACATCCAGGCCATAGACCAGTTAAGCCTGACAAATGTCATGGCCCTCCAAACCACCGTTGCAACACACGGACGACACTTCCGTTCTGGGAGCAAATCCAACCAGGGACTTCTGCAAACACACACGGTTGGAAATGGTGCAACCAGCCCTTCCCCACAGCTCCTGCCAGCAGCTCCAAACTGTCCCCAGCAGCTTCTCACTCCGTGCAGCCCCAGAGACCAAAAGGCCCAGGGTGCCCAGCTCACCTCGTTGGTTCCTCCCTGAGCTGAGTATGTGAAGGTGCAGGTGTAATCCCCCTGGAAGGAGAGAAGAAGACCATGAGGAGCAGCCTTCCCTTGGGCAGGACCTTCTCTTGACTCCTCCTCAGCCACTTCTCAAGGAGGAGAGGAGCTCTGGGGACACCTGAGGGCTGTGCAGGGTGCAGCCCCCCAGGGGCTCACCCTGGGGGTGACCAAGGAGGACCACTCACCACGTCCAGACCTCACTGGGACACAAACAGAGCCAGGACCACGCAGCCCTCGCCCCTGGGGGGGGTCAGCAGCAGCACCCCATGGTGCTGGGCTGGGGACCTGTGTTCTGGGGGTTCCAGGGACCTGCAGCCCCCTTCCCCAGAGGGCTCCTTCTCCTTGATGAGTCGCCTTCCCATGGGGACCCTCTATTTTTGACACCCTCTTCCTCCTTGAGACCCCTCCCTTCCCTGGGAAGACCTCCAAAGGTCTCCTGCCTTTGGAGACCTCCCTCCTTGGGGACCCCCTTTCTCCTTGGGGGGCTCGCATTGTCTTTAAGGAGCCCCCTCCTTTGGAGACTCCCTCTTGGGGACCCATTTCTCCTTGGGAGTCTCCCTCACTCCTTGGGGAAACCCTAGCCTTTGAAGACCCCCCTTGGGGACCCCCCTGGCCTTTGAAGACCCCCCCCTGGGGAACCCCTAGCCTTTGAAGACCCCCCTTGGGGACGCCTCTCTCTCTGGAGTCTCCCTCACTCCTTGGGGACCCCCCGGCCTCTAAAGACCCCCCTGGGGACCCCTCTCTCCCTGGGGACCCCCAACTTTTGAAGACCCCTCTTGGGGACCCCCCGGCCTTTGAAGACCCCTCTTCGGGACCCCTCTCTCCCTGGAGTCTCCTTCCCCCCTTGG